AGACACATCTACTTAAGAGACGGTCCTGCCTTTTACTTGGGTCTTGCTATTCAAGACCCATAAAGAGGGATAGTGAATGCGGAAGCAAAGGCTGCTAAACAGGGTGCTTAGGAGATGCACTTGGGGAAAACAGTCCACAGAACAACTCAAATATTCAATTTAAAAAACATATTTGCATGTTACTATGTATGCTTTTCATACACGGAGGGTAGTAATTGCTACTGATCATTTTAAAGGAAGTGAATAGGAAATTTGAAGTTTGATGCCTATCCATTACAAATTGCTAAGGGTTCATTTAGATAAATCTCTTTTCAATTGTATGATCGTTACCACTAACATCAGGAACATGTGGAATCTTATACCAGGTGGAGAGTGGCCGTCAAAAGTGTATCTCCTTTCTTCATTAAAGGAGACTGTACTTCACAAAAGCAACATCAGAAAACAATTAATGATGACATGTAACTTGCCATGCGACATTTGAAACATACATCAAAGAAGATACAAAAACTGTGAGCTTGCTCCTAAGGCAGCTGTCATACCGAGGCAGAGAAGAAAAAAACTGCACACAGAAAAAATGGATTATTTTCTTTGATTTAACAGTAAATAAATCTGACAAGAAGCAAGAAAATATAAAGCAGATGAATCATTGTGGCTGGAGCTAAATGAGATATATACCTGATATATTATTACCATTTTCTCTGAATCTAGTTATGTTCTTTTATACTTAGATTGAGGTTTGTAAAGATCACAAACTGCAGACCAAGCTGTCCTCTTTTCGTCCTCTGTATCAGTGCCCTCCAGGCAGTTCTGCCTTTGCTATGTAAGAGGCAGAAAAGGATTTTTTTTCCCCTTCTGTTAAAAGATCATTCACACTCCTTTCCATCTGGCAGAAATGCCCAGGAGAAAACTGTCAGAATAAGATCTCCATAGACATTTTCTTCATGGACACACCTTCGTATCACATACTGGGAGAAGGCAATAAATTCCCTTTCAACCTTGGTGTATCCATATAGATCTGTCACAGATCAGGTTCATCTCTGTGCCCAGCTGCATTACTCCCAGCCCTTCGGTAGCTCTCACTATGCCAGGATCAATTCGTGGACACTGCTGCCTTTGGGATCTTTGGATGAGCATGTCCCAGAGAAGTCACATAATTCATTCTCCTTAAAATCAAATTTCTGCTGAATCTACTGAATAATCCTTATCTCTACGTCCAACCATACACTTTCTTCCCTTCCTCCAAAGGGGCCTTCTTTCCTCAGGATCTAGAAAGATGAAGCTACACCAGTGCCTGTGTTTCTTACAGGAGGAGGGAAATCTGGCTCCATCAAGTACAGCTCTAGGGTGGACAGCAGAATTGTCTATGCTTGTAAATGTCTTTGCTGGCAGATTTTTCAAACAGTAGTAGCCATCAGTGATGATGTAAAATTCAGCACTGATTCACACTTTTTTTGTATGATTTGTTATTTTCAGGTTAGCTTTCTTACATTTCTTGGAAATCATAAGGAAAAACACAATCCAAATGCAAGGTGGTTAGCATACAACAAATTTGATAGTAAAGCCTCAGTCCTTTGAACCACCCTCTTAGAGATTTAGTTGCCTACATCTCAAGAGTCCTTTTTTCCTTCACAAGGATTGAGCTTCAGAATCAGTTTGCAAAATAAAGGCTTTAGCTATACTGACTGCATGGCACCTTTACCACAGACTAAAAGGGCCTTGAACTGAAATATACTCTCCAAATAAGCCACACGCACCTGCCCTTCTAAAGTGATATTTAACACCATCATCATCAGACTCTGTTTTCTAGCTCTTCATGGTTTAAAGAACAAACAATTAAGCACAAAGCCAGAATAATTCTATTAGCATTTTTTTAATTCTAGTTTTCCCATTGCTCTCCAGCACACTAAAATAATTCCATATACCCCTGACGTCGTTTTGTGTGCTCATTGCTGAGACATTCAAGGAAAATTGCTTGACTTTAACATATCTTAAGAATTTGGAAGTTTTGGTCTTTCAATAATAAGCTCTTTGTATACGTACATGATAAATTACAGGATCAGAGTTTGAAGGAGTATGAGCATATTTCAAGAAGAGAGGAGAGCAATACTGTTGTCTTGATTTTATTAAATTGACTTATCTAGCCTTTTTACAGGGTTAATACTAACTGACTTAGCACTCTCTGTGACTTTCAAGTCTGCAGCATAATTTCTATATTAATACCAGGAAAATATGCTGAAATTATGGTGTCATATGTATCTAGAATAAATACACAATATTGATCCTGCTTTCAGTGTGTACTTAGCCTTGACATTTGTCCTTGATCTAACAAGGAAAGTGAAAGATTAGGGATTAAACTCTAACTGAAAAAAGATTAGTCAAGATTTACTCAAAATAGTCAACTTAATGTATGATACAGCTTTTTAATTGATGTTTGTTTCATATGTGGTCTTACAAAACAAGTTATGTTAATCAGTTGGTTTACAATAGTTTGCACTTAGTGAACACATTCCATCTGAGAATGTTAAGCTGCTTTACAGATAATTAACAACTCAAACGAGAATTATAGGCAAGCAAATGCTATTGTCTCTACTACGTCTGTAAAAACCCTTACTGTAGACAGAGTGACTTTTTTTTTTCAATAGAGTTAACCTTTAGAATTGAGAGACATCAGTGACACATATGAATTTGTGTATGGGGATCCTATCCTGACTCATATTAAATGTATTTGTACTTGAGGTCTACTCCTGTAGAATTATACCTGTGGCTGTATTCTCTGCTGTAGACAATATTTTTAATAGTAACTTTATTTTCTTCTAATCAACCTCTTGAAGGTGCATATGAATAAAATGAGTTGTCGCTGATTGTCTTTTACCTGTCAATAATGCATTCTAATTAGTTGGGTTTTGGCAAAGCCGTCTTTCTCCACTTCACCTAGAAATGTGTGATTGCTGAGATTTACCTGGTGCTATTGTCATGCTGCTTGGCACTGTGCAAAATACAGCTGACTTGAGCAGGGTTTTTCTTGTTGAGCCAACGCAACCATATACCTTTGATTAAACAGTGGTGTTAGTAGCCTGTGTCTGGGAAAAAAAATTCACTAATCAGATGAGAAATCATTAGAGGCAGAGAACAAAGCAAGCCTGACCCCAGCAGCCATGCCCGGCTGGAGGGACCTTCAGGAGAGGACAGTGAGGATAACTGAGGAGATGGCACTGGCCACTTAAATTTTCTGATGAGACTGGTAAGAAATCCATTTTATAATATTTTAACTGTTTCTTGCAATTTGCCTCATGCGCACAATTTTGCTGACTTCTCTTTTCAGCTACAGAACCAACATTTCAAAGGTTAATGTTACTTTATCAGTATTTTCAAAGACAGACCTTGAACAAATGTTACGAGCATGACCTTAGAAACCATAAACAACTGATACACAAAATTTCACAAACTGTAATTCTTTGGTACTCCCTAGCTTAACCAAATATCTACCTGACATCAGGTCTTTTGTTTTTTTAAACTGTCAAGGCTGTGTCTTTCTAGATAGATTAACTGAAATTATTGTCAAAGGTAAGCAATGCTGTTTGGCTTGGTAATGATGTCAGTCTAACTCGGCACTCTGTTTCACAATGCTTCTCAATGTTTTTTTTCTGGGTGCAAACAGTTATTTTCTTTCCAGCTTAAGAGTATAAAGCCACACTTCAGGAATAAGGTAAACCCTGAGTTACTTGACAACTGCTCAGCTGGGAGAGGTCAGCTCCCCTCCCCTGTGTCAGATCCTCTGGTGTGATTCACCCTGCAATCCAGAGTCACCCTAGCTCTCCCCTTTTCCCATGGGACTCTGACAGTGCTAGGGGTTCCTCAGTCTCCCATGTATTCCTTTTTTCATGTAAATTTTGACTGCTGTGTTCTCTTATTTAAGTAATTAACAACATGACATTTGAAGGTAATTCTGGTGTGTGACAATGTTAAGCTTTCTAAAACATGATGATAACCAGAAAAATGGAATTATGATGTGATACAAGGTACACTTTCATTGTCACTAACTTGAATAGCAAAACTTCTGTCTGTCCTAGGGCAGTCAATATATGGCCCATTACGAGTACTAAAACATGCCATACCTAATAGATGAGATACTGCTGCCAAATTTCCTTTTAAAACCAAAGTGTTGTTGCTCTCTACTTAAAATGAATAAGCTTCATTCTGTGCTGTTGCGTGTACTGTCAGAAAAATTATTGTTATAGCAGCTTAAAAGAAGAAATGAACTAAAATCCTGGATCAAAATTCTCACACAGAACTGTGAAACTTGACGTTTGGGTTCAAACTTTGCAGCTGGGTCCTTTCTCCAAGTTTCTACATTTAGTGACGGTGCAAATGCCAGAAGTTGAACACTTACTCATACGATTAGGCCAAACTAGAACAAATGGAAGTGTATCCCAAGATGAGGGATGAGGTGGACATGGTTTGATCAGAGTAAATCCAGGTAACAGAGCAGTTAATAGCACAGAGCCAACACTGATAAAGGAAACATCATTTGAGATGCATAATTTATGGAACGATTGTAAGGATGGTTTAAAATTTTAATGGTATCAGCAATCACTGCTTGACAAAGAAACACCTAGATGGGGCTGTCTAGATCACAGAGTTCAAATCCCACCATCAACAGCTGTTTAGTCCCAAAGCATCCGTGTAGCAGCTATTCACATCACTGCTGGAACCTCTCATGAAATTTAGACCTATGTTAAAAGGCAGAAAGCCACAGCCCTAATGTATCATAGGAACAGTGCACATGAGATACCAAGCATTGCCATCATCTTGAGGTACCTTGCAGTATAACAGTCACTGCCCATTACAGCTGTGCAGGGTAATTAGCGGGCCTTAACTGTTTGTTAATGTTTCCATAGAAGTCTGCAGTGAATCAGATGTGGCTGCCTGCCTGTCTAGCTGCCAACGCACATGGAGATTTATTAGACAGTTACAACTGAATGCTATTTTTCTTTCATCAGGCTCATGCAAAAGTTTGGCATAACTACAAAAAACACTTTCAACCATATCAGAAGGGGATGATGTCCATAGTATTGGGATCCCACTGGATTGAACCTAACAAATCGGAGGATGCTTTGGACATTTCTAAATGTCAGCAGTCTATGGAGAGAGTACTCGGGTGGTTTGCTAAACCCATTCACGGGGATGGCGATTATCCGGAAGAACTGAAAAATGAATTCTCATTTTTGCCACGCTTTACTGAGGATGAGAAGAACTACATAAAGGGAACAGCTGACTTCTTTGCGTTTTCTTTTGGACCTAATAACTTTAAACCTCCAAACACTCTACCAAAAATGGGACAAAATTTGTCACTCAATTTGAGGGAAGTACTGAACTGGATTAAACTGGAATACAACAGTCCTCGAATCTTGATTGCAGAGAATGGCTGGTTCACTGACAGCCATGTGAAAACAGATGACACCACAGCCATCTACATGATGAAAAACTTCATTAATAAAGTTTTACAAGGTTTGTACTCAAGTTAGTTGTTGGAGTTTCGGAGAGCTTTTTAAGATCATTCGATATTTAGCTCTGTAATGATGTAATCATTTTTGTTAAAAGACATAATGGCAACTAAGTTAATTATTAATTATTTATACTGCATGAGTGCAAGTCATGGATCAGGATCTACTGGTGCTAGATGTTGTACTAACACAGAAAAAAAATATAGTCCCTGTCCCAGGAAGCTAAAGTCCAACATCTGCATTGGATTTTAAAACTAAATAAGTGCAAAACTGAGTCAGAAATTAGTGAAAACAAATCTATGGGATATCACTTTTCTCTGCTGGTAGCCCAACTGTAAAACCTTTGTGCAGGTACATACCTTGACAGCAGGAAAACAACACAATGACTACAGGCTGTCATTGCCACCTGGGGTCCTACTCCAACGTAAAAATGCATGAAGGAAGTCATCAGGAGAAGGGCGATCATTCTTCAGGATTATTACATGCCAAACAGAGATAATATGTTTTAAAGACACGCTTTTAGTCTTGTTGTTTTCCCTTCATAAAGCCAGTACACAGGGGTGCTCTCTGAAGACAAAAGATTTAGTGTGAAATAGAAACGCTGTTAGTACCTAAAGCCTCTGCAAAACCAGTATTTCTTTTCCTCCTCAGCCAGTTTGTAGGTTCAGCGCTGGGAGAGGGACAGCTGCTGGTCCCGAGAGCCATCCTCCCAGCAGCTGCCCCACTGCTGATGCCATACTGCGATGGGATGGCTCACATCCCTTTACAAAAACCTCTCTTATCCTCAGAAAAGGGAAAACACGAGTAACTGTCTACTCTGGCACCAAGTCAGGAAGTACTGTATCACCAACAAACATAATTAAGCTCCTAATGAAGTTTATCCAGATATATTTAAAGTTGGTTCAAATGGTAAACTTCACACAGGGCAGCTATGTGAGATGTCCTGCCTTTTCCAGATTTTGAGGAGGTTACATTCCAGTATTTGGTTTATGAGATTTTAAATACTTCCTTGTCACAGCAGGGAAGTCTAGATGCAGGCCTGGATTTGGAGGTGTGGAACAGGTAGATTTCTGGACACATACATAAGAAAATCTGTAGTGTCTTCTTTTTTTTGAATCCTCTACAGCAGTCCTGGCTGTAATAACCATCCATGGTTATTCATCCATTCACACTTCTGAAATACTTGGTCAATGTTCAACCAATAGCTATGGCTCAAGAATTGTCATCTATGTTTTTATGTATGCAGATACTTCAACCTCTGCTTCAAAATACAGGATTATCTCTTAACTAATACATTTTTTGTGAAGCAAACTTTAATTTGTCTGATCAGGAATAATATTTGGAACATATTTTCATATTTTTACTTACAGAGAAGTCAGGTATAAATTTGCTGTTTGCAGCAAAATCAATTAGGTCATGTTAACCTCAAAACATCATTTATATAGGCCAAATTGTAATGGGATGGTGGCTGTTAAAATAACATGTACCAGCCTACAAGGAGCTATACGCTGTGTATGTGTTCAAGGAGAGTGATGTAAACTTTGCAGTGTATGTCTGTATCTTACGGTACTGTGAGTCACGAAAATATGTGATGTATAACATCACCATGGCAATGAACGGCCCCCAGTTACGATACAAGGATGCAATCGAAGCTACAGCTTCTTAGTGGCATGCATACGCCTGTCAATACTGAAAGTATTACTTCTGCAGGACTCCAAGGCTCCACGTATAGCCAACACAGAAATGCCTTGAGATCTGCTTCCGTGGGTGTCACCTCTGGTGACACAGGGAGCTTAATTAACTCCTGACCTCTCCTACCTTCAGCCCCTTGTTCCTGCCTCCCACCATCACCGTGGCTTTTAGGAGGATCTTCTCATCCCCACTCTAATCTAGTGAGGATCCTGACTTCTGTTTCTTCCCTCTCCTTTCACTGTCACTGTCACACTGTGGGTGGGTAACGAACGCTGTTGTTAGTTGGTGTCCAGCGAGAAGCTGCTTTGGAAGTTCTGCTGCCCTCCCTGGTCAATCAGGTTCCATATCCAAGAAAGCAGTCATTTTGTCATCTTGCTCATATATGTAAAAGATTATATGTATACTCCTTTGCAAGGTGGAGGGACATGAAGATTGCCTGAAGAAACATGCACGTGCTGCACCCATTCTGTGAATAAATCAGGCACTTCAGTCTCTGGGTTGATCAACCCAGCTTCTTCTAAAGTCATTACATGTCCCATACTGACGCATTTAATTTTTCAATTTAGAAGTTGAATAGACATTCCTAAATGTTAGAGCTTGCAAATAAATCTTTCAAATAAAGGTAGGGAGTTTTAACTTCATGACAAATACAAAGTCACAAACTAGATCAACTGTTGCACCTTTAATTTTTAGTCATGATTCTCTAATTTTATTGGTATATTTTACTTGTAAATCATCAAATGCAACTTAAAATCTGGATGTGGCGTAATATTTCATGTTTGCTCAGAGCAGAAATAAAGCATCCTACAGTAATTTAATGTCTTAAGCAACTAGTGATGTACGTATTTTTTAATGAATAAGGATTAAGATATATAATGTCTGTCACGGTTTTGCAATGAATTACGATGGGCCAATAACTGTATGAGTGTTGAGAAAGCCCTCAAAGTGAATAGACCTTTCCCATAAATATCCTTTATATGTGTTACAGTCCTAAATATAAGACTCACAGATGTTACTTTCTCTTATGCAGCTATTAAATACGACAACATAGATGTGTTTGGTTACACAGCCTGGTCACTCCTTGATGGCTTTGAATGGCAAAATGCTTACAGCATCAGGCGTGGATTATTTTATGTAGATTTCAAAAGCGACAAAAAAGAAAGGATTCCCAAGTCATCTGCACTTTATTATAAACAAATCATACGAGAAAATGGCTTCTTCCCAAGGGAGTCTACCCCAAGCTTGCAAGCTCAGTTCTCCTGTGACTTCTCCTGGGGTATCACCGAGTCTGTTCTCAAGGTAAGCATAAAATATTGGGAAGACCGCTGGATGCAGAGCAATCAACAACTTTACTTTATGAATAAATGACTGTGTATGGCAACTTCCGTTCAGGAATCCCAATGCACACTGCAAACAGAAGTTAAGCCTAGCCATAACTGCATAGGTTCAATTTTATGTACTTTACAGGCTTTCAGGTGAGCTAGTCACAGAGTGCTGGGTGCTCCTGCAGCAGCAGACCCCTCTGCAGGAGCCCTTCCAAGGCTGGCCCTCCCTTGCCTTCCCTCTGCTTGCATCTCCACGTGGCAGATCAGATCAGGAAATTTCAGACCAAGAAGTTGACCCCAACCAGTTGTTCCTGGGTTATTTTCAACCAGGGGAGTTTCCCAATCCAGTTCGCAGTGTGGCCGTAGGGATGCCTAGGACAGCATGACGGAGAGGCTGGCAGCAGGCAAGGACACGGTGGTTGTGCTGGTGGCAGCAGAGCTACCTGCAGGCTCGAGGTCTCGCCTAAAGCTACTGAACAAGGCAGAAACAGATTCCTGGGTTGAGCATGGCTCTAAGTGCCACTTAGACAAGTGGGTGACAAACCATTCCTTAGAAAGACTTACACGACGGGCAAAAATAACCAACACCAGCACATATGGCCTTTATCATCTGAGCTCACATTTGAAAACAGATCATACCACCTTTTTTCCAAACTGGCTCCTACAGTACCTATTTCTACTTTAAATGTGGTAGATAAGCTAACCATATGTATGGTCAGTGTTGGGATACTCTTTTTGTCATCGCATTCAGAAAGATAGTCCAATGACCAACATCAGCCTCAAAAAATAACAGCAAAACTCCCTAATTTAACCTATTCACTGACAACCATAGGGGAAAAGAAGTACAACTTCTGTATACTTTGTTAATCATTCCGAGGAAATATACAGCACGGAAAAGTGCATTTTCTTTAAAAAATCAGATTTAATCTAAATATTTTGAACCTCACTATATTGTATTACAAATCCTACAAAAAATCTTCTAAAAAATTGGAATAGTAAAAAAATATCCTGTGCTACACAGGATACATCCTGTGCTAACCTTGTTAACTAGTAGATGATAGTCAAGATATAACTAATATTAAACCCTACAATCTGTTTGTGTCAGATGTTTGCAAAAGCAGAAGGACTACCAGTAAGACCAGGGAACACTATGCCACAGTTTCACAAGGTTGATCTCAGCAGCAGTGCCAAAATAATCTGTGCCTGCCTCATATACTGCCAGGTGCTTGTTCTTACCACCCCGCTCTCCTGCCAGCTGCCTGAGAACTGCTGTTTGCATGACCACAGGGTGAACTCTTTAGATTGGATATTAGGAAAAATTTCTTCATGGAAAGGGTAGTCAAGCATTGGAACAGGCTGCCCAGAGAGGTGGTGGAGTCACCATTCCTGGAAGCGTTCAAAAAACGGGTAGACGTGGCACTCTGGGACATGGTTTAGTGGGCATGGTGGTGTTGGGTTGATGGTTGGACTGATGATCTTAGAGATCCTTTCCAATCTTAATGATTCCTAGTTTTTACTTTCATTATAAATGATCCAGCCACCAAGCCAGGAGGCGTGGGGTTGCTACTCTACCCTTAATTGGTTTAATGGTGGACTTGGCAGTGTTAGGTTAATAGTTGGACTGGATGATCTTTACAGTCTTTTCCAACCTAAACAATTCTATGATTCTATAACTCGATCCGGGAGATGTATCTGCGTGAAGATACATGTCGTGCAGGCTGGTGGCAGGGCAAACACTGGTGTGTACCTGAATAGAAAGGAGAGTGCAATTTTACTGTTTTCTATAGGTGAAGGAACAGAACAGGTAAGATGACCTCTAGCACAGACAAAGCCATATAGGTAAGTCAGTTATCCTCTTCCCCTCGGAGCATCTAAGCAGGACCTTCTGACATCCAACACTAATCCTACAGCCAAACACAGGCAGAAATGCAGACTACAAGCAGACATTAATTTAATTAAACCCCATTGTGATATATAATTTTTATTTTCACAGGCAGAATCCGTGGCTTCCTCACCTCAGTTTTGTGATTCCAGCCTGTACCTCTGGAACGTCACGGGAGACGGGCTCCTGCACAAAGTTAAAGGGGTGAAGCTAAAAACCCGACCAGCACAGTGCACAGATTTTGTCAGTATTAAAAAGCAACTTGACCTCCTGGAAAAAATGAAAGTCACCCATTACAGATTTGCACTTGACTGGTCACTAATTTTACCCAATGGAGACTTGTCTGTGGTCAACAGGCAAGTTCTTAGGTATTACAGATGCGTGATTAGTGAAGTACTGAAACTCAACGTTCAGTCCATGGTCACCTTATATTATCCAACTCACGCCTACCTGGGCCTGCCGGGTCCTTTGCTGCAGACAGGAGGATGGTTGAACCAGTCTACTGCCTACGCTTTTCAAGACTATGCTGCTTTATGTTTTCGGGAACTTGGCGATTTGGTTAAACTTTGGATTACAATAAACGAGCCTAACCGGCTAAGTGATGTCTATAATAGGAGTAGCAATGATACATACCAGGCAGCGCACAATTTATTAATAGCACATGCCATGGCCTGGAAAATATACGATGAGCAGTACCGACCCTTTCAGTATGGCAAAGTGTCCCTGTCCCTGCATTCGGACTGGGCTGAGCCTGCCAACCCCTACTTTGAATCTCATTCAAAAGCTGCCAACAGGTTTCTTCAGTTTGAAATAGGCTGGTTTGCCGATCCCATATTTAAGACTGGGGACTATCCAGCTACCATGAGGGAATACATCAGCTTTAAAAACAGAAAAGGCCTCTCATACTCTTCATTGCCATCTTTCACAAGCAAGGAAAAGCAGCTCATCAAAGGTGCAGCTGACTTTTACGCACTGAATCATTTCACCACCAGATTTGTGATTCACGATCCTCAGAATGGGAGCCAGTATGAATTTGATCGTGACATCCAATTTCTGCAGGATATCACCTGCCTGACCTCCCCTTCCCGTTTGGCAGTGGTACCTTGGGGAGTGCGCAAAGTTCTCAAGTGGATTAAAAAAACCTACGGTGACATTGATATTTACATCACAGCAAACGGAATAGATGACCAGTCCTTAGACAACGATGAACTTAGAAATTATTACTTGGGAAAATACATACAAGAGGTTTTAAAAGGTGAGTATATGATAGATTCAAGTTCCCCAGAGCCATTTCTGTGGCACAGACCCAGGCATTTCTTAAGCAAGCACCTAAGACTTGCCCCAGACAGAGCAAGCAGCTCTGGTTGAGATGCAGGAACCGGCCATCAGCATTCAGCCTCCTGAGGGGCCTGATTCTGCAGGCATGCTCAGGGCAGGTACAATACAAAGCAAGGGCATCAAGCCCTCATGTGAAATGCAGCCACAGCTGCTTTCAGTTTAAACCACGTGAGAAGCCATCTGGGCATGCATATACAGCTGAGTAGTTATTCAGAAGTTAGTAGGAAACGGCACTTCAGACCAAGAACTCCCAAGAGACAACTGTAATTTCTACTCTGCAAAAAAAGGTGGGAAGCCTCCTTACTTGCTGCTGAACTAGAGTCATTGAACAAGAAAGCACAAGCAAGTCCAAGGAGACCTGGAGGGACCAGATCTTTAAGGAGCTGCTGCTGAAGGGAGACTCAAACTCCAGTTCCTGTTCCACTACTTGCTTTCTCCTGTGCATCTAGAGAAATCTAGTTCTTCACTTTAGAGAAAAAATTAATAACAATTGTGGAGGTAGAGGACAAAAATGTTCAAGGCAATGATCTTCAGCAATAGTTTATTGTATGAGAAATGCTGCAGGGACCTCACCCCTCCCATCCCTCTTCCTCCAACCAAATGTTAAAAGGAAAGCAGCAAGCCACAGGGTACCAGAAAGGCCTTGGTACCTGAACCATACAGCCAAAACAAGACTTACATTGCTTCCTTGCACTCACTATTCCCTATTGGCAAGCACTAGCGAGTTCCCTGACCAGGACGTGGGGTGTCTAAAATGTCTTCTGAGGCACCTGTCCCCAAACATAGTCTATGTATCCTGATTTCCCCTCTCTAGGAACTAGCTACGTAAAAAATGAGACAGGTCTTACTCATGGCTAAGCATGGCTTCAGATTTCTTTTAGACACGAACAAGAGCCAGAGCATTCCCCCTCCAGTGCTTAGCTCTTTCTCAATTACTATAGGACTAATGAGCATTTGCTGATTTATTTTCCGTGCTAATTTCACATTGCAAACAAAAGAGTACATTATTGAAGGAAATAAGTTATTAAAGGAAAAGATTGTTTAAAGGGCACTTCATCATAGTATTCCCATTTTAATTGTCAGATAGCATGATACTTTATAGTACTCACAAAAAGATCCCCCCAATTTACAACGTTCTTGCTTAATCTGGGTCACATCCCCATCTATACTCTCTGCTTACAGATGATTTGGAGATATGTTTACTCACCAAGAACTGCTCTTTATGATTTCATTAAAGTATTTTCACCCAACACTTGGGTGCAGCAGTATAACATACAGTCATGCATCCTGCAGGGCTGAGCAGCTGAGTATGGAGCAGGGCAGGAATTTTCAGAAAGCTCCTCTCATGGCACAGATGAGCAGCTGCTCCCCTTGAGTTACCGCAGCTGGATTCAGTGAAGAGCAGCATGTGGCTTTTCCCAGGAAAGCAAGCTCCCAGCTCTAACCCTGTTCAAATCCAGTTTTCACAGAGTAGGTCCAGAAAATTCCCAAATTTTAACTTTTTTTTTTAAAACAATGATGCTGATGCACTGTTTTGACTTAATGAAGACAGTGGGAGCTGAATATTATCAGCAGTAAGTGTAAATATTTTATGGTGCAATTATGCTTTCTGAATTGATCGATTAATCACCTGAAATCTGAACTCATTAACAGAATGTTTGCAGGTCATGCAAGGTTTTCTTAACAACATGTCTTTTTTTTTTTTTCTCCTTCACAGCATACTACATTGATAAAGTCAAGATTAAAGGCTACTATGCATTTAAGCTGACTGAAGAAAAATCTAAGCCCAGATTTGGATTCTTCACTTCAGATTCAAAAGCAAAGCCTTCAATAAAATTTTACAATAACCTGATAAGCAACAATGGCTTTCCTGCTAACTATTCAGTCTGTGACCCCCCCAACCAGGAAAAGCAGTGTAGCTTCTGTTTGTTTATTTCTCAGAAGAAGCCGTTAATCTTCTTTGCCTGCTGCCTTTTCTCTACCCTTATGTTGCTTTTAACCATTATTGTTTTTCACAAAAGAAAAAGAAGAAAACGTTTTAAGGCAAAAAGCATCCAGCGCATCTGTGTTTCATTTTAGAAAGGGGGCACGAGCCCACTGTCAGTGAGATCCATCACTGTGTGCATTCTGCAGAAGATGACACAGATCAGACAACTGTAGAAAAGCACTACATGAGTCACTCCAGTCATACACACCAAGCATTTTGTTGGAAAAACGGAAAGTAATTGTATGCACAGGAAGAAGAGCTATGACAACATTTCTTTCTGATGAAATTACTTTTTACTTTTATCCACCTTCTGTATGTAGAAGTAAAATTCATCTATTTAAAAAAAAAGAAAATTTTATGACTGTCCTGTGCCTTGGAATAACAGTTTGACTTGAAAAGAAAGATTAAGCTGTGAGAACTGATATGCACTTTTCTATGAACCTCTTTGGACCAAAGCATCTTGTGATGTATTTTCATATCATGAATGTTGTTGAGCATGAAACTGCAGTTGTTAGGGTTTACAAATAAAAGTGTTATTAAAACCCACAAACTTCCAACTAAGTACAACGCCAAGAATGAAATGTGCTGGGCCAGCTTCTGGAGATACCTCTAAAGAACAAATGCAACAACTCCATTATTGACCAACATACCTGTATCTCTTACGTATTGGGTGAAGTAGAGATCAGATGTGAACATTCTAAGCAAATGTAACTGGACGCACAGGAGACAAGTCAAAATAATACACAATCACTCTTTTTCACCTCCAAAATGGGGCAGCCGTAAGAATTTTTCCTAGCAGAGAACTAACAGAAAATAAATAGCAACTATCAATCTACTCAAGAGAGTGATGAAAATAATTCTAAATTGCACCTTTTCATAGAAATAAATATACATTATCATCTTAGCTCTGGTCAAGTGCCAGTGCAAACCATGGATGGGATAAAACCATGAGAGGAGTTTATGGCTATTGCTGCATTAAGCAAAAGCTACCAATGCAGGCATAATGCTCTTAAAAGATAAATGAACCTGCTAATCTCATTTAAACTGTTCAGCAACCAAACCCAGAGGTTTCCCTTGGTCTGGTTTTGGTCATCTCAAAATGAGCCCAAGTTTTTCCCATGTTTTCCCATGTTTCCCAGTTTTTACCAGCCTTTTCAATCATTGCATCAAACTGCATGCTCAGACCCTCACTGCCCAGGTGGGTATCACACATCTCTGGAGAGAGGTAGAGAAGCTGCTCTAGAAATTGAAAGAATGGCAAAAAGAGGCATCAGTTAAATTCCTACTGCCTTCCTGCACTTTACAGCCTTGTTTTCCAGTGGCTAGTACCATTTACACGACCCAGTGAAACCCCCAACCTGTTCCCATTAGGAGCTAGTTACCTCAGTCTTAGGGTCCCCAAAACAGATGCACTTTATCTGTTCCCTGGTGCTTCTGAAGAGATGAGGCATATGAACACATTGTCTTTTCTAACTGCATCTGAACACACAAGATAGCATCAAACTCAAGGTAAATGATAATGTGCTATGATAAAGTAAATGATGGCATAAATGATAAAGCATTGCAGCCACTTACAGACTACTAGAAACTTTGTGGAAGTGCTACTTTGAGGATACGTGCGATCGACTGAACCCCAAACTCCCAATACTTGACCCAGCCTTGAGTCTCAGTTCATAAATCCATGAGACTCTTTCTCCATTATATTTCAAGTATTGGTCAACATCACAGAAGGTTAATTAATTCAAAAGGTTAAGTACTAGTAAAATGAGGGACTCTGACCCACTTTACACTATAAAATGTCCTACCAGCGCAGCAAACAGCACAGGTGTTTGTTAGAGGTGCATGCATCCCACCCGCACCCACTCACTAGTTACCACTCGCAGCAAGCAGGGAATCAAACTGAAGCAGGCTACAGGGAAACTCCCTTGAATTCTGCATGCATTGTGGGAGCACAGAGAATTTTGGAAGACTCCTTTAGCTGCACAATTCAAACCACACAAGAACCTGTCTTAAAAGCGTTCAGCAATACATCTGCAGTTTAGCACCACTACTTTTCCAGGCTGACACACCGGTACCGCACACCCCTGTTGAACTTGGTAGAATCATGCAAGTAGGGGCTTTGGGCAATTTTCTGAATTTCTCAGGCATGCATAGATGCTTTCCTCAATGTTAAGCTTTAGCCACTTGTTACCAAGTACGTTTCTGCACTACCCCAGTATTTTCTGTGAATCTTTTTTCAAAATTGAATGTAACAAGTGACAATGTGGATTTTACCATGGCACAGAAATAGCACAAAACCCCAACTAGATGTTGCTAGGTGGCAAGATTAGTAACCAAGAAAAAAAACAGAGCTGTATCCCCAGAGGGCACAAACCAGTGTTGGTGAAACTCAGCAATAAGCTCCACCTGAACTCTGAGGTCAAGTCCTGTGTTTTCTTAATTGAGCAATATAGCTAAAGCATCATTATTTTCAGACTACTACTTCTCTCTCTGTATTTAATTTAAATGGTCTTATAAATCTGGTTCTACTGATTCCAGTTTTGTTTTTAACCTACTTCAGAATCTGTCATCAGAAGTTTGAATTCCCCTCCAGAAATTGTACACAGAAATCAGTTTTTGGAGTTTGAGGTTCTGAAATGATAAAGAACACTACTCTCCTTTCTGCAAGAACAGTGATTTTGCTATTTCTTAGTGCTACCATTTAAAACTTGCACTTCATGGCTTCACACGCTGGGCCCACACTCCACTGGCATGAGGTTTCCAAACCATCACACTTCATTCAGTCCAAGTGTTCTCAGAGGCTGGTAAGCAACAAGTACACAGCGCTAACATGATCTCGCATCACCCTGTGACAATCTGCTTCTCCAACAGCCAAAGATCTTGAACGGGTTCATGCAATTACCATTTAGTTCTTTTTAAAAAGAAAAAAAGAGGCCAAGATATGAAATACATTTTATTTTATTAAATATCTCATGGTGTTCAGGTTTTGTATCAGATTCTTTAAGCTGGTACTTGCTGATGTGATGTCTCATGATGGTTTGTTTCAGGATCCAGACAACTCTAAATAAAAAGTTAAGAGCTTTTAGAAAGGTTTTACCACTGCAGATGTGAAATTGAAAGTGTATAGACATATGACAAGTTAATTTATCTGATAGTTTTGATGCAAGACAGACATTAATAGCTCAAAGAATTTGCTTAGTTTTACTCAGACAAGATTACTTAAAGATGCCTTCAAACACAACAGCTCATGACTGTTTAACAAGCAGGTAACAAGTTGTTCCGTCTTTCAAGGAACAGCTTGCAAGTGGCTGTTGATAAAAAAAAACTAGTTTATGAAACTCAGTTCATCTGCACCCTCTGTCTCAAGCTTCAGTTCAGAAGGCACACAACATTTATTTTACTTGCAAGTCAGGCTGTCTCACCCTGCACAAGTGTTCTGTACCACACATGGAACCATACATAGCTGAAGTGCATCAAATTCCTTTAGCAGTTTAAATTCTTCAATTATCCCCGAATCCTTGTACTTGACTTCAGTAACAAATGTACATACGCAACATAAATAGTTGTCCTTGTTAAACTGGCCTTTGTTTACAAGCACTAACACACAAACTACACAGAAGATCTTTCTATATAAATTATGTGCTGACCACTTTTTTTAGTGTCCAACCAGGAGGAACATCAGTTTAAGAAAAGTCTTGTCCATAAACAGCTCTAAACCAGTCTGTCACGCTAGGCCAGCTGGTTTTAAATTCTCAGCCACCATCGTAACTAGCATTCACAGCACAGAATACAGCCCTTAGATTAGCCCTACAGAGTTAGATCTTTCTCCGTACAGCAGCGTAATACCAAGTTGATGAGAGATGGAAAGTTGCTGTCAAGAGACCTAGCAAAACTGAAGTTGTATGATACTTCTTTTGATGCCTTTTACAAGCACAACTGCATCCCTGTTGGGAAGCTGCTCAAACCACAGCCTTGTTAAGTAGATAAGCCTTGTCAAGTCCCCCGATTGAGTAACCATCTCTGCAAGGAAGATGTACCATCTGCGTTAAGATGATACCAACCTAGTGGAGTTTCACTCATCTGCCTGCTGTACTGTTCCTTTCTCGGAGACGTAGATACCATCCAAGAATTTCCTGATATCCTTGTTCTTGACCGTAGTGGCTTGCTGGATCAAGGCAGCTGCAGACAAAGCAAGACCATTAGCGCAAAAAGGTCCAAGCCAACTCCTAGCCTTTGTTTACTCTCCAAGATTTCAACTAACAAACAAAACCGTCATCTGGAGAAAGGAATTAACAACTTGCAATCCTGTCAGTTCTAAGGAAAACCGAACGCATTTCACTGAGCCCGTCCTGGCAACTCAGGGCAGCGACAATTTATTACTGTGCACTCCTACAACAGAAAAGGTGAAAAGTTTGGTGCCAAAAAGGCCATCAATACTGACTCAAAAAAAAGGTTCTGTGGACTTGTAAAAACATCTCTAAGTTTAGAAAAAGGATAAGAAACTATGAAAAGCAATTATGGTGACTGGGGGGGAAATCTGAGCTGTCGTTTACCTCAGGGTTTGAGAAAAAAAGACAGTTTGCTAGGCTGACATCTTCAAATGAAAGCGGCCGTATCATTATATCATCTTCTCATGCATCTACTTTCACAAACCTGAATTGGAGACCAATTCAATGTCATTCCCTTCAAGGATCAGCTCATCTTTCTGGGCTTGAGAGACAGCGCATGAAACACCTACCGAAAGGAAAACACACAATCTACATTGCTGGTGAAGATGTTAAGCATGCTAAAGAAACAGTATTCATGTCCTGTCCCAATTTACAAATCTAGAAAGTAGTATTCTAGGCAATAATTAGCTTCTATGACTTTGTTAAAGGAGTTCCTCACATCCCTTCCAGGATTATCCTCCCTCACACAGTTTCAGAACTCAAAGATTAGTGCAAGTCATGCTCTGGATTGAAAGCAACTAAGTGATGTTCCTACTTAACAGTTACTACATTACAGCATTAATCACCAGCGCCACATACGAGCCAGAGATTTTCCAGCATGGCTTCGTCAGCTAGGTGGTGCCATTTTCCACATTCTTATGTTCATTAAGACAAACCCCAATCAAAGTCATTAAAAAAAAAACCACACCTGTCCCCTGACATGTCAAGCACCATGTTTATACTAGCAACACTGTGAATACTCACAAGGACTAAACACTAGGACATTCAAGAGTGTAACAGGAAACTTTCATTTGCAAGGACAGTAACACAAGGAAGTTTTTATAGTTTCATCTATTTAGTTAATAGATGTTAGCTTTTAAGCCAGCACTTTAGTATCTTTGAAGTAAATGCAGACTTAAAAAAAAACCAAACGAATACAATAATCAAACCCACCCTTAATATCCCACAGTAAATCAAAGTCAAAGCCACCATAAGTAATTCCGCACTGTACCTACCAGTGCTTTTGGACAAGTCCAATGCTTTCATCTAAAGCCACCCCAAACCACTATCAGTCACACTAAATGTCCTTACCCATACCTTCACCAGAAATGGAACTATCAAAAGAAATGGATACAGAAAGTCTTCCCTACAGTCTTAAGGTAACTGTGTTTATGACACGCTTTGTCTCCTCCTTTTGGGAGTTTAATAAGCTCCATCAAATGCCTACTGTTAGACATTTTGCTAAAACTCCAATTATGCAAGACATAAAACCAACAAATTTTCAGGTTTAGCATACATGCTCCTAGGCAATCAGGAAATTCAAAATAAAACAACACTTCAATTAAGCACCTGCAGTTTACCAACTACAAATGCCATCAAGATCTCACGATGATGAAAGTAAACACTGGGCTCCTTGTAACTTGTTTTACAGTAACTAGCTCCAAACTAGTTATTAGCTACTGACTAGCTCTCATTCCTAAAGGTAAATTACAAAAGCATCATTAATAATAAATCTAAACAGCACCAAAGGTATCATAACATTACATAAATTCAGACAGGCAAATGCTGCTTCAACAATCATTCATCATCTCCTGTATCAACAGCAGTACCCGAAGAAAACAGTTCAGAAACCCTAGTTAGAAATAGTAAAGTACACCTCCAGATAAGCTCACCTGGCCTCATACGCACTCTGCGAATGTACTTCTCTCCCAAGAAGTTTCGGATTTCCACGAGCGAGCCATTATCCTGTATAACTACGTTGATTGGGAAGTGAGCGTACACTGACCTCATCTTGTAACGAAATCCCTAGGATAAAGGACATCATCACATATTGGAAGCAGAATGCATCCAAAAAGTAGAACAGATGCATAAAGCTTACTGGAGATCTAAACCCAAAATATATTGAAAGTAATTTCTTAACAAGGGCAAGCCACTGAGCCCAAGAGACATCCAGAGTTTATTGTTCATGCTTTCTTCCACCTGCAGAACTTGTCTGACAGCATGCGCAAGGAAAAAGAGAGACAGAAAGCTACATCTCAGATGCTTAGAAAAGCTCTCACTGAAGTAGAAAGCTGTCTATTGTTGTAACAAAAATGACACGAGCTATCCTATTTCAAAATAAAACTCACCAGCGTAACACCCTTTATCATGTTCTGGACATGGCTGCAAATGGTGCGAACTGTTGCCAGCTCCTTTCTGTTACCCCACCACTTGTCAACACGTAGCTGTGTTAAAAAAATAAACAGAATTAACAAAGCTTTCAGCTACACTTCAAAATTAGAAATAAAATGGTTTTGTGACAAACCAAGAGTAAGAAGTTCAGGTAAACTACTTAAAAGCCCTCCTACCAAAGCACAGAGGTTTTCTTTGAAAGACTATTAAAGGCCCACCTAGCTCAAGTCTTTTAAGTCTTAACCCCCAAATGCATGAGAAATCATTTTTTCTTCACATCTCATTAGTGACAAATCTTCAAAGAAGCTGCGAGAAATATTCTGACATCTTAAGTAGAAAGATGCTTTATCAAGTGCTAAACACTGAACAGGTTATTCCAAAATCAGTCTCCTAGGTATAATCTATCAACTTTTTAATGAAACTGTGTGGGGGTTCAGTGTTTTAACAGAACACTAGATGCTTACGAAAAAGCAGCTGAAATCAACCACTCCTCCCCTTTTTCTATCGTTTTTAAGACATTAGAAAAAATATTATGCATTGATTTAGAAAACATCTGCTCCCCTGACGTAACTTGCAAATTCTGGAAATTCAATGCAGAGATCTAGTTTTATCTACCTCAAACTAGCCAGTTTATAAAACACAGCATATAATGACCGATCCCCTTCCCAGTAACTATCTGCCTGTAACTACAAAAGAAAAGCGATCAACAAATTCACTCTGACGTATCACAGAACTTCAGGAATTGCACGTTCCTGAGCAGGTCCCAGGGTTCCATGAGACCAGCCTCTTTTAAAAAACACAGAAGTAAGGCAAAAATTCAGCAACTGATCTGCAGCTCAAAATTTTGGTTCAACTCTCCTACGCTATCAAGACGTTTTAAAGCCAACTGTAAAGCCACCCTCCCTCTCCGGGCAGAGCAACGACCTCCGCAGCACTCACCTTCTTGTGTTTCTTTCCCAGGAGGGAGAGCTCCACGTTGATGTGGTTAAAATCCCTTCGCAAGGTTCCTCTGGGGCCCTTTACGATGACCGTCCGGCCCTTCAGTGAAACGCTGACTGGAAATCAAAGGCAGACGCACGTTAACCGGCTGCGGGGTCAGCACCACGAAACGCCTTTCAGACGTTACAAGGCAGACGTACCTTGCTCGGGGATGTCAACGGTCTGGTTGCTGAGAATGGTCTTCATCCTGCAAAGGACAACCCAGAGGAGCTGCACACCCCGCAGGCGAGGCCCATTTCCCCGCTCCTCCCCCGCACATACGCCGGAACGCGCAACCACGGCGCCCCGACC